GTGTGGGCATGGTCAGGTGAGGGCCCTTTCCAGGTTACAGACTTCATTCACCGTATCCTCACGTGGTGGGAGGCACAAGGGAGCTCCTCGGACCTCTTTCATAAGGGTGTTAATGTCCTCGGGAGGGCTCTACCCTCAGGACCTTATCACCTTCCAAAGGCCCCCACCTCCTAATTCTGTCACATTGGCCATTAGGATTTCAACATATGAATTTTGGGTGACAACCATTCAGACCGTAGCATTTAGGCTGTCCTCTGGGGCTCTAATCGAACTTAGCCATGTCAATGCTGTTTCTTCTCTTAAAACATAAATCACTGAATTGAAGTTTTACTTTTAAATAATAATTTTTAAAATTCTGACAGTATTCAGATTTTTAGTGTCTGCAATAATGATGTTAAAGAGAGGAAGCTTTTGTATAAGGAAACTTTAATTTTAATAGGTTCATTGAGTAGAGTAAAATGTTTTAAATTGATTTTATAATCTCAGAAGTTTCTGGATTCTACTAAGCAGTATAATAAATATATACCAAAAACTTTAAAAATACTGGCCTGTATCTTCAGTGGCTGAGTGGGTGCCAGAGTTTTACAGATTTTTGGACTAGTGTTCTTGTAGTGGCATGCAATCAAAAAGACAGCCTGAGCTTAATGAACAGATCTGCTCAGAGCATGAACTCTATTCTGACTCTGTGCTCTGTGAGCAATTTTGATACTGATTTTAATTCTCAAATAATACAGAGGAAAAATCCTTCCCAATTGACAGTTAGAGCCCTCCTTTTATTCTACAAAACCTCTCTGAGTAACTATGATTGTATAAGGCCTCATTACCTATAAAAAAATGAGTTTCAGAGAACTCAAAGTTGAGAAACAATGCCTCAGCCATTATGCTGCTTTTAAAGTTAGAGCTGCTATACACAGGTGTGGCTAGTAAGGAATTTAGAAATTCGAACAGCAGTGTGTTTCCAAGGCCAACCAATGGATTTTTGAGTCAGAACAGCAAAAAGGATTAGGAGAGTTGGTGGCAAATGCAGTAAGAGAGCATAGATGAGAAAAGTAGTCTTTTTGAGAAAGCCTTCAAGCCAAGAAGCCTCAAATTCTCCCAATATAAGGACATTTTTCTGAAAAATCCTTTTCAGAAGTGCCAATCCTCCCACAACTGCACCAAAGAAAGATACTTGAAGTTGATCATGCCATTATTTCTTAACAAGCCTCAATGCAGCCAGAAATTGAGTAGTCGATTTACCATCATTGGAAATATTTAACCATCAGTCCCCAGAGTTATCTATCATGTTTTAATTTTACTAACAATGCTTTTCTGCTCCTGTAGAGAATGCATAGCGCCACTACAAGTGTCCTTCACATTGCATTACTACAGGGAAGCAATTAACTGCAGGGAGAATTGAAAATAGGAAATGAGGCATGGCTTTATTTATTTACAGGTGAGGAAAAGTCACAGAACCTGAGGGTGCTCCAGCTCCTGTGGGCAGCCAGTCAGCTGCCCTGACACCACATCACCTCACTCTTCTATAACAAATCCTGCCTGTTAAATTTTTACTTGGGCATTTACTGGTTAGCTTGTAAATATAAATATCTGTGAGAAACTATTTGCATGTCTGAATACAGATCACCTCATTAAATGTAAAACAAACTACAGTGTGCTCAATTTATAATTCCCAAAGTTCCTACTTTCAAATACTTCATAGTTTAAACATTCTTTTTTCTGGAAGCATTTATATAGTGAAATTATTTGATGTTCTCAGCAGGTATTGCTGCTATTTAATACTTAAAGTGAACTACTTGCATGCATCTTTCATTTCCAACCTGTAAGTTTCTACATTTCTGATTATTCAAAAATATAAGAGGTTTTAGAAACAGCAGAGTTTGAGAGTGAAATTCCTTAAAAATTCTGAGAGGAGAGAGGTGACAAGGGGGACAGAGAGTCCAGTGACCTCTCAGTAATGAATACTTTTATGGGTATTAGAAGCTGGGTGATGAGTGGCCTAAATTTGCACTTGCAACTAGAGGAGTAGAACGTCACCCAGGCTTTGGAGGAGGGGAGAGAGATATAAATGCTTGGCCCATTCCCAGCCAGCTTTAGGAGGCTGATTACTCCAGACATAAGGATGTCACATGGGCAGCTGTACACACAGTCAGCTTCTCCAGCGCTGCACAGGTGCCCCACCTGCTTCTCTCCTGCTGCTGGGTGAGCTATGGGGGACTCAGTGCAGTGGCCCACCTTCTATCATTTTATCCCGCCAAAACACTGAAGTTTGTTTTGCCTTGGTTCAGTTGCACAAACACTCACAACAGTTCAAAAAAAGTTCCAACAAATTACATATGTACAGGTCTCTAATTTTGAATGTTAACATTGACAGATGTTAGATAAATCCTCAACATTTACTTAATTTTTCAAATTAACTTGCCCGGTATTATTAAAATAAGTGTCACATTCCTCACACGAGTAATTTATGCTAACAGTATTTTAGTTCTTTCAGAATGCTCTAAAAAATACCATAGCCTGGGTGGACTTCAAACAACAGAAAAATATTTCTCACAGTTTTGGAGGCTGGAAGTCAGAGGTCAGGGTGTGGGCATGGTCAGGTGAGGGCCCTTTCCAGGTTACAGACTTCATTCACCGTATCCTCAAGTGGTGGGAGGCACAAGGGAGCTCCTCGGACCTCTTTCATAAGGGTGTTAATGTCCTCGGGAGGGCTCTGCCCTCAGGACCTTATCACCTTCCAAAGGCCCCCACCTCCTAATTCTGTCACATTAGGCATTAGGATTTTAACATATGAATTTTGGGTGACAAGCATTCAGACCATAGCATTTAGGCTGTCCTCTGGGGCTCTAATCGGACTTAGCCATGTCCATGCTGTTTCATCTCTTAAAATATAAATCACTGAATTGAAGTTTTACTTTTAAATAATGATTTTTAAAATTCTGATAGTACTAAAAATTTTAGTGTCTGCAATAATGATGTTAAAGAAAGTTTTTGTATAAGGAAACTGTAGTTTAATATGTTCATTGAGTAGAGTAAAATGATTTAAATTGATTTCATAATATCAGAAGTTTCTGAATTCTACTAAGCAGTATAATAAATACATACTAAGAACTTTAAAAATACTGGCCTGTACCTTCAGTGGCTGAGTGGGTGCCAGAGTTTTACAGATTCTTGGTTTAGTGTTCTTGCAGTGGCATGCAATGAAAAAGACAACTTGAGCTTAATGAACAGATCTGCTCAGAACATGCACTCTATTCTGACTCTGTGCTCTGTGAGTAATTTTGATACTGATTTTAATTCTCAAATAATACAGAGGAAAAATCCTTCCCAGCTGACAGTTAGAGCCCTCATTTTATTCTACTCTCTGAGTAACTATGATTGTGTAAGGCCTCATTACCTATAAAAAATGAGTTTCAGAGAATTCAAAGTTGAGAAACAATGCCTCAGCCATTATGCTGCTTTTAATGTTAGAGCTGCTATACACAGGTGTGGCTAGTAAGGAATTCAGAAATTCGAACAGCAGTGTGTTTCCAAGGCCAACCAATGGATTTTTGAGTCAGAACAGCAAAAAGGATTAGGAGAGTTGGTGGCAAGTGCAGAAAGAGAGCATAGAAGAGAAAAGTAGTTTTTTTGAAAAAGCCCTCAAGCCAAGAAACCTCAAATTCTCCCAATATAAGGACATTTTTCTCAAAAATCCTTTACAGAAGTGCCAATCCTCCCACAACTGCACCAAAGAAAGATACTTTAAGTTGATCATGTCATTATTTCTTAACAAGCCTCAATGCAGCCAGAAATTGAGTAGTCGATTTACCATCATTGGAAATATTTAACCATCAGTCCCCAGAGTTATCTACTACCAATTTTACTACCAATGCTTTCCTGTTCCTGTAGAGAATGCATAGCACCATTACAAGTGGCCTTCACATTGCATTACTACAGGGAAGCAATTAGCTGCAGGGAGAATGTAAAATAGGAAATGAGGCATGGCTCCATTTATTTACAGGTGAGGAAAAGTCACAGAACTTGAGGGTGCTCCACCTCCTGTGGGCAGCCAGTCGGCTGCCCTACCACATCACCTCACTCTTCTATAACACATCCTGCCTGTTAAATTTTTACTTGGGCATTTACTGGTTAGCTTGTAAACATAAATATCTGTGAGAAACTATTTGCATGTCTGAATACAGATCACCTCATTACATCTAAAACAAACTACCGTGTGCTCAATTTGTAATTCCCAAAGTTCATACTTTCAAATACTTCATAGTTTAAACATTCTTTTTCTGGAAGCATTTATATAGTGAAATTATTTGATGTCCTCAGCAGGTATTGCTGCTATTTAATACTTAAAGTAAACTACTTGCATGCATCTTCCGTTTCCAACCTGTAAGTTTCCACATTTCTGATTATTCAAAAATATAAAGAGGTTTTAGAAACAGCAGATTTTGAGAGTGAAATTCCTTACACAGAAGATAGTAAAAAAAAATCCCAGGTTAGTTTTTTCTCTTGTTCAAACTGTTACACACTTACATCTAGAGTCAGTAGAATACTAAACTTCCAACAGTATTACAGATTTCATATGTGTTGTCAAATGCATCATTCTATATAGCTCCTTGATAATATTCAGGAGTGGTACATGGAGGTAATAAAGACTCCCACGATGAGAAGCAATGGAAATTTCCTCATCACAAAGTCACTCTGCTATTCTTTTTACTTTGGCAACATGTTAAATACACTTTTCTGAAATATTTAAATTGTGCTATTTAATAGCCAATGTTCTTAAGCCCCATTATGAAGTGTTATCTAAATTCCTGAACACAGATTCCACTGATCAGTTATGAGTTAGCAAAATCAGTTGTCATTTAGTTTGTCTTTAGTTAGTTAAAATACAAAGTGCAATTTACACAGTGAATCAAGGAAAAATGTAAGGTCTTCCAAGTTCTACCAAATTTAACAGCTTTATTACACTACTGAGCAGTCAGTAAGTAAACATTTACTGAGCAAAATCTGGGTGCAAGTATTTTAATCTTATGGACAGTTTACTGGGAAAATACTGAACATCTAATATACGGTCCAAATAATGTATTTTGGTATAAAGGAGAAAAAATATATTTTAAACTATTGAGAGCATTTATGAAGCAAGATAAACATTATCTCTGTTTTCCTATATCTTACATTCCCCTTTGTTCTGTATCACTACTATTTTTTTCCTACAATTACAACACAGGAAGTGATACTATTAAAATTATGATTGTGAATAGCTAGTAATTTTTAGCATTTTTTTCTATGCTCTAAGCAATGTGCTGAAGTACTTAAATCTTAAAACAAAAAATAATGTTTGGTATCTTGTCATAAACAAGTAGAAAATAGGACTATCTATGAAAGAAAGGTCTTCAAACATTGTACCACGGACAGCATAGGACACTGATCACTGACGGAAGAGAACAAAGCAAGGGGATCCCCTGCTGGTGCAGCTACTGCCTGGAGGGATATGTTCATAACCAAAGACTAAGAAAATGGGCTTGCAGCAGACTGTGAGAGGCTAAGCTGAGCAGACAAAGATTGGATCAGGGAACCAGAAGCAGTAGAAGTTTACAGGGTAGAACACCTGATCGGAAGGAGATACGCAGAGAAACATCTCCACAAACCTGAACAGGGTTTCTGAGTGTTGGCTGCATTCTGAGTTGCATATCCTCAAGGAGAAACACCACAAGGTGGAGAAAGAACAACTACCATGCACTGTGAAACTGTAGAACTCCAAGAAATCATACAGGGCTGAGATGTTTGAGACCTCACCATCCAGAGTAGAGTCCTTGTTGATCACCTGGGGCTTTTAGGAGAGAGCCCAGCAGAGTCACATATGAAGAAAAGCCACACTAGACCCAGCTTAACAAAGCTTTAAATATTTAACAAATCTTAAACCAAACCTGATGGAAACAAACTGACCCCTAAGTAACTTGACTATTGCTAAACAAAAATTCAGCACTCTTTAAAGGAAACCAACAGAATTTCAATAGTTAACTCTATAACATTCATAATATTAAGCATCTAACTATGATTACTAAACATGTTTTAATAATGTTACCCATAACAACAAACTTTTATCAAGAGAAATAGACTCAAGAATGAATTAACAGATATTTATCTTAAAACAGCCATTATTAATAAGGTCAGGGATTTAATCAAAAAGGCAAAAATAATGAGGAGAGAAGGGAAAAATATAAAAAAGAACCAAGTGGAAATTCTAAAGCTGAGTGAGAAGTAAAAGAAGTGAAATGAAAACTTCAGTGTAACAATAAAAAAAAGATCAAACACTATAGAAGGAAATACTAATTATTTTGAAAACAGGACAGAAACTATCAATCTCAAGTAAACAGAGGAAAAAAAGATTGAAAAAATCTTTTACTTCAAACTGTAATACGAATAATGTATCAAAGGAGTAAAATTACATTTGTAAAATGACTTGATTATTTTATGCAGAGTAATAGAAGTTCATTTTGTCACTAAATTGTTTTGTTAACTTTGTGCTTTTGACATACTTAAATCCTTTTTGAAAAGATTCCTTTAACTACAATTGTTTATTGCTATACATTTATATATTATTTACTTTAAATATTTGTCTTTGGAATCTTATGATTAATACCTTGTCTCCTCTAATAACTGTTGTACCTCTTGATTGTATCTTTCCCATATAAAGCTCTCAAATTCAGAATAAAACTATCAAGGTGTATTTTATGTCTAAACTGTTTTTGGATGTTCTAATATGGCCATTAGGTAACACAGGATTTGGTCCTTCAAGCTTAAAAAAAAAAAAAGTAAGAAGATGAAAAAGCACAAAATCTCAATCACGATATAAATTAGACACAGGGATGAAAGTGCAACATAGAGAATATAGTCAATGATTCTGTAACATTTTTCTATGCTGACAAGTAATAATTATACTAGTTGGGGTAAGCATTTGATAATGGAGATAACTGTCAAAATAAGACAGTAAGAATTGGTTCGTTTGAATTTCTCTACAGTTTAGCTGTCAAAATTGTCTGAAAGCTCTTGGATTAACTGGGTCTTGTGTTTTCCATATTGATTAGATTTTTACTACAGGTTTTCCTGTAGCCAACTAATATATTGATTTGCTGTTCTATAACCGATTTTAACATGCAGAAAAGACATTGTTCCATGGAATGCACCTTCTATATGGTTATGGGTCACTCTAACTCCAGAATTCTTAAGTCGAGTAACGTACATAAGTCCATCATCTCTTAAGACATCATATTGGCAGGTGATAACATAGGTCGGGGGTAAACCACGCAACTTGCTGTCATCAGCCAGCAAAGGTGAAGCTCTCACATCTAAGAGCCCTGGATATTTTTTAGTGAGCTCTGAACTACTGTAAGTCGGTTTCTTATAAACATGTCCTTTCTTAAACTTCTCAGGGAGCAAGGAACTCCAGTTAACAAACTTGAACAGATGACTTGATTCCAGAGGAATGTGTTGGTTGGAAAGCATTGCTTTCTCGAGTGACCTATCCGTAGTAAAGTATTCACTCCAGAGCCTGACCATTACTGATTTGGACAGAATTGGAAAATGTGAATTTTCTCGATAAGATGGTGAATCTGTATCAAAATTCTGAAGGGCAGGATATATTAGAGACTGTATCTTGGGTTTGCTCTTGATATCTGGGTCTTCTAAGAGCTGAAAAAAATTAGAATATGTTGCTTTAAATAAATTATTTTCACTAAAAAAAAAAATAACCACAATACAAAATGTATTATTAAATGTAAAATCCTTAAAAATATAACATAATACACATCTTGATAAAGGTCTTAATATTAAATAATTTTTAGTACTAGATGTTCATAAGTTGAATGTTTTAATTTTCCAAAACAAAGAACAAGTACCACTCACTTCATAAAATATAAAAGAGGATCTTTTATTGTAATGTGAATTTCATACTTATGCAACCAGACTTCCAATAGGAGGCATTGCATATATATGTGATACTCTTTCTCATTATTAAGAAATATTTTAACTAACTTAGTATGTCAACAAGCATCGAGATATGAGGGACTGTTATTTCCTTAGCTCTGATGTTAGATCTTGGATAAATCTAAATAATGTGGAATTATTAATTTTTAATTTTTTGAGCACTGCTCAGTCCTTTCTAAGTCTAGTCTCTTTTTCTCTCCCGGGAACAAAAGAATTTGACAGTTTTTATCCAAGGTAATTTTCCTGCAGTGTGCTTTTGCTACTGGGACAAAATGCACTGGTCAGCAAACATGTATCTAATAACCTCGCTTTTTTTTGTCATATAATGTTTGAATAAATTTAGTTACCATTTTCAGACTTTGAAAAGGCTGTCTTTTCCCAAACACTACCAACTTTATCTTGTATACATCTGAAGTACTAGCATAATCCAGAAGAGACTAACAGATTAACCCATTGAAAAAATGGTATTGCTGTTATCAGTGAGAGCCCTGGCCGGAACTTCTGGTACAATTTTGTTTTGGACAGAAGTAGTGGTAGTGTGTAGCCAGTTTCAAAGAGAAAGCTTTTAACTAACCATTAAATGTGATGTTTCCTGTGTTTTTGTTTACATACTTTTTCAAATTTAAGAACTTTGTTTCTATTCCTTGTTTGCTAATTTGTTTCATTTTTATCAATATTGAATATTATCTGTAAAAACTCATGATTTTCTCCTTTAAACAATTAAATTTGGAGTTTATTAATAGTTGTTCTAATGTTAAATCTACAACACTCCAGTAGAATAAACTGAAGGTGATTGTGATATATTACCTTTTAATGTTGCTCAGTTTTGTTTGATAGTTTAGGATTATACTTCGATGTTCATAAATGTGAATGCTATTTTGACTTCTCAAACTGACCTTGTCAGGTTGAAAATCAAGGTATGTTAGCTTCTCAAAATGCAACTTCTGCCACTTTTTGGAATTTTACTTTTAGGAGTAGAGATCTTTTTTTAAATAGTTGTTAGAATCTGTGTTTGAAACTGTTTGATCCTGGAGTGTATATGTGTGTGAATATATTAAAAGTATTTAAATTACTTCATCGTAATAAGTAATCCTTATTTTCTATTTCTTCTTGCATTGGTACATTTTTCAATGAATCGTTCCATTTTGTCTAAATTTAAATGTATTGCAGTAAATGTGTTCAAAGTATGTTTTTGTATTTTTAATACCTGCAAGATATTTATAGCCCTTTGTTCATTCCTTATATCATTTAATTATTATCTCCCTTTTTTCTTAGTTTTACCAGAGAAAAATCAATTTTATTACTTTTTCAAGAAATTAATTTTACTGATTTTGTTGATCCTATTGTTTATTTAGTTTCATTTTTTAATGTTTTTCCCTCTTTTCTCTCTCATCTTTACGTCTACTTTTCAGACACCATTTTTTTCTCTTAATTTCAAGAAATGGATGCTTATTTGTTCACTTCAGTTATTTTTGTATATTAAGATTATATTTTTCTCTGGATATTGATATATATGTATTTCATAGAGCATAATATGTAACATTTTCATTATAATGTAGTTCAAATATTTCAAATTTCCATTGATTTCTTTCACACTTGAATTAATAAGAAATGAATATCTTAATTTCAAAACATGTGCAGTTTTCCAGTTATATTTTGTTGTTAATTCAAAATGTAATGGAAACTGTGGACAGAGAACATAACCAAAATAATTTGACTTCTCAAATTTCATTGTGCATACAAATCATGTGGAATTCTTATAGTATGCACATGGTTAATTCCAGAAGTCTGTGGTTAAGACCCATGATTTTACATTTCTAACAAGACTAATGCTGCTAATCCACAGATTATAATATGAAAAGCAGGGATCTATATGGTTTCAGTCCTTTGATATTGACTGACACTTGGTTTATAATACCTGTATGTAGAATTTTTAAAAATGTTTTGTATGTTTGAAAAGAATATACAGTCTATTATTTTATTTCATTATTTCAAATTTGTTAGTTATGTTTTCTAACAATTATTGAAAGAGATTAGTAAAATTCTCCCACTTTTGCTATTAATTTATTGATTTTTCCTTTATTTCTATCAGTTTGCTTTATATATTTGAGACTATGTTATTAGGTATATATAAATTGATGTTATTTTTCATCTTCCAGGTGAATGGAATTAATAATAAGAATGTTGTACATTAACTCTAGTAATAGTTTTTGCCTCTAAGATTGTTTAATATATTTGGTTTAAATTTACAATCTATTATTGTGCTTTCTATTTGTCTCACCTGTTCTATGATTTTTTTTCCTCTCACATTATTTTGGTATATTGTTTTACTCCATTTTCCTGTGATATATTTTAATTTGTCTATCTTTTAAAATTTTTTTTATAGGTCATACTAAGGATTACAATAAAATCCATTAATTTATCAATGTCTAATATTATTATACCTTGTCTTCTTGGACAATATAGAAAGTTGTTAAAATACTTTAATATTTTTACTAGTTCCTCGATGTATTGGCTATTATCACTGTGTATATTTCTTTCTAATTTTAAACCTCATTGGCATAATTATTATTGTTATATATAGCCAATATTCATATTCTGGTTTATCAATATATTTATCACTTTTTTTTCTTGCTCTTTACTTCTTCCTGCCTCTTTGATCTTCCATCTGGGATTAATGTCTTTCTCCTTGAAATATCTTCTCCATAACCCAAAGTGTCAGTATGCTTGTGAATTTTCTTGAATTTTGTCAAAAAATGTCATTTTATTCTCAGACATGAAGGATATATTCATTTTAGTCTTGTTCACCATATTCTTGGTGTCTATGCTATTTTTTTATTTCCTATCTTTCAAACTCTCTGTTCAATATTATAGTAAATCATTTTTCTGACCTTTTTCCAATCTGCTGTATTGTTGTATTGCAGTCAGTATACTCAAAAACACTTTTGTGGCAACACAAAATATGAACTCTAGTGTAAACTGTGGACTTGGAGTGATCAGGATGTGCCAGTGTAAATTTGTCAACTGTGACAAATGTACCACTCTGGTGGGAATGTTAATAATGGGGGAAGCTTTGCAATTACGGAGACTGAGGCTATACTGGAAATTTCTTACCTTTTTCTTAATTTTGCTCTCAGCCTAAAACTGCTCTAAAAATATAAAATTATAAGAAAACCTAAATTGAGCATTTAATTTTTATGGTTAATGTTTTCATATTTTGAAGTTTTATTTCTTTATTTTTCAAATCTCTCATATCACTTTTAGAGTTCCTTCTTCCAAAACATACAAGTACTAAAATGTATTTTTATTTATATTAAACATATTCTATTTAAACATTTTTGTAATGATAACAAGATCTGAATCTGGGTGCTTCTATTACCTAATTCCTGTTTCCCTCTTTGGCTGTATTCCTGGTTACCATCAACTTTCTACTGATTGTTCAAATAAAAAAAAGTATTCTTAGGAATCACTTGAAACCTAGGATCAGGGTACCTTCTCTTAGTAATAAGCTGTATTTAGTCCTGGAAAATACATACATATACTATACTATATTACAATACATAATATTCTGAATATATTGACTATATGCAATATTCTGACTTCCTGATTATAGTTATTGCTATATTTATTGACTTCCCCTTATTCAAAAGTCCAGTATAGTATATAGGAAATTGTATGAGCGTATTATATAAAAAAAGAAGCATTAAAGTATGAAATTATTCTTCTCAATATTCCCTAAATAAGTGAAAGAAAAATTATTGGTATCTTATAAGTTAAATGACTGTACCAAATATTATTAAACATAAGATAAAAGAAAACATAACATACAAAAGTAATCAGTCTTACCTGCTGAGTCACTGCTGCAGCTAAATTACCACCAGCGCTTTCCCCAGAAATACCAACTCTCCCAGGATCTACACCGTAGCTTTTAAGAACTTCCGGGTGTAAAAACCATTTTAAAGCAGTGTATACATCTTCAAATTGAACTGGGAAATGATACTTTGGGGCTAGTCTGTAGCTGTTAATGGAAAAACAGTGTTTTCTTAATTTTTGATTTTTTACTTATGTACCAAGCAGGGCAGGTACTCCCAATCCAAAATAAACAGTGAAATTTTGTTTTTACCAACATAATATTTGGATATTTTCTATTAATCGGAAGATATTTTTCCTAATCATGAAATCTGACTGGCAATGACTAAACATTGTAATCTTTATAAACAAAATAAAAATTTTGTATGCTAAATATGGTTCAATCTTAGGGAAATACTGCTTAGCTGCCATCTCTTCCTAGCTAAAACTTTTTAAGAATGATTTTTGTGTCCATTGCTCATCTTTTTCAGTAATCGTTATTATTATTACTTATTCACATCCCCAAAATTACTTTTCCAACCTTACTAAAATATTCCCATTTGACATATAACCATCACTCTATTAGTCCATAAATTCTGCTTTTTCTTACGTATAAGTTTAAGTAGGTTCTCACAGACAGTGTGTTCTATAGAAAATTCACAGGCTTTTTTCTATTTTTCCTCAATTGTGCTCTAGACTGTAATTTGAAATGTGTTCTGTCTTAACTTCTACAGCTAATTTAGGTAATAGTTGCTTTTATCAGTGGATTACCAGATGCTAAGCACCATTCCAAGCACTGTAAATGTATTACAACACTTAATCCCATATTAATGCTGAAATGTGCAGCTTTTTATTAGAAGTTACATATCTTTTAAAATGTCACAGTTACCAGTTTTCAGAGCCTACATTTTATCCCAGTCAACTGGCTCCAAAGCTATCACCCTTTTTTGTTTGTTTGTTGAGGCAATCGATGGGCAATATTATATTCATTTCAGGTGTTCCAGGTTGGAACACATAGTGATCCAACATTTGTATACATTGCTAAATTGTCACTACTACAGTCTAGTTATTATCTTTCACCTTACAAAGTTAATTCAATATTACTAACTATATTCCCCCATCCCATACAATCCATCCTCCTAACTTATTTATTTTATAACTGGAAATTTGTACTTCTTGATCCCCTTCACCCATTTTTGCTTCCCCCTAACCCCCTCATCTATAAAAACTGCCAGTCATTTCTCTGTTATCAATGGGTTTGAGTTTGTTCTGTTTTTGAGATTCCAATATAAGCTAATAAAACAGTATTTGTCTTTCTCTGTCTGATTTACTTCATGTAGCATAATACCCTTAAGGTCCATCTACATTGTTGCAAATGGCAAGATTTCATTCTTGTTATGGTTGAGTAGTATTCCACCGCATATATATAATCTCACATCCTCTTTATCCATTCATCCAATGATGGACAGTTTTTTCCATATCTCAGCTATTGTAAATAGTGCTGCAATAAACATGAGAGTACAGATATCTTTTCCAATTAGAGTTTTCATTTTCTTTGGCTCCTTCTAATCAAGCTTTTTCTTACTTTCAGATGTCTCTTGAACCTTAGTCATTGCCTAGCCACCTGACTTATTCTTGATATATCCCATTGTTGAGGATGTGCCAAGACCTGCTAGTGACATAAAGGAAGCGATCTCATTTTTGCACTTAGATTTAGGCTAACTGGAAGCCAGATGCTCAGGCAGCAGCTTTTAAAGTATGCAAATATATATAGTCCTGTGGGGCAGTAGTCATAATCCCTGCCGGCCTCCAGACCAGGAGATCTGGAAGTCCACTCTAGATGACAGTTGCAAAATGGGGCTACAAGGAGTGTATAAGCTCCTTTCTGTGGAGTCTTGAGCTGTAGTGAGACCAAGGGAGTGCACAAGGATGGTGTCTCTCTGCTTACGTTCCCTGGGAGCACCTCCTTAGCCTCTAGATGTGTGAGAAACCTGAAGCCTATCCCTCAGGCCGAAACTCCAGACTAAGTAAATAAGCCTTTTTCACAAGAAGACTGGATTGTGTTTCATTCTGCTGTCTGTGCAGTGCCCTGGGGATAGTGGCCTTCCAAGAAGTGTCTTTCTGATTGTTACAGTCCTGGGAGCTCTGGAACTCCAGTGCATATGACCACCAGGGCCAAGTGATCAAGGGGAGTCCCCCATGTGATATGAAATTGTATGCAACTTCTGGATATGAGAGACTGTTTCAAAGTTTGATTTTCCTTTTTAACTAATGAACTCTTGAATTTGGTCAGAATTGGTAACTGTTTTACAAGCAGTTACTCATCAAATCCAACAGAACAACTGGCATTCGGGCCATAAAACTATTGCTGTGAACTTTATGATGACAGAATAGTTAACTAATGCAAATCAAGAATAGTTTCGTTTAATAAAACCAATGCAATTGATCAGAGGGTAATCACAAGTGGTTCAACTGGTTAGCACCAAACTAACAGTTTTTTGTCACTATCTAAATCATGTAATTACCCCCACTTGTTTCTCATAAAAGCCCCTTCCTTGCTCTCCTCAATGAAAGGGACACTTTTTGGTGATTCCAGAATTGTACTCCCTGAATTGCAATTCTGAGAACCCCAAGTAAAAGTCCTTTATTTTTTTCAGTTTTGCTTCCTTTCTTGGTTGACTTTGGTTTGCACACACCCACTAGCTTTAGCCAGCCAGTGGGAGAGCACAGAGGGCAGGCAAACCCAGGTTTTTTTGTGAGACTGGTGTCTCCGTCTCTCCTACCAGTCTTGATGGGGTCTTTTCATCCTTTGTCATGGAAGACAGTTCACCTAGCTTTCAGATCTTTTTCAGAGGGAAATGACCCATATGTAGCTGTAAATTTGGTGTGTCCTTGGGAGGAGATGATTCAGGATCTTCCTATGCCACCATAGTGGACCTGCTCCTAAAGTCCTCATCCTTAATACTCTGCTAACTAATGGGAAAACAAGTCCAGAGGTGGTAGTCAAGATTTGATACTATAGATTAATTTCACTTGAACAACTTGTTGACTCTCTGACCTTTGTTCCTCCTTGACCTGTATGTATACATCTTTTCTCTCTGACTCTGGGCTGGATAGCCCCTGACATTAGGTCTCTTTGTCCATACTCAGTGTCATCAGTGATAGAGATTGATTTTTAACATAATAAAATGCTCAATATGGTTGAGTGAATATCAGGATGTGAAGCATCTGGCCTAAAATCAAACCAACAAAGCTCTTACTTGGTTGATACGACAACTGCATCAAGCCTATTTGCTGTCCATCTTGAGAGAAAGTCACAAGCAGGAAAAGCTGAAATAAAAGAAAAATATACCGAAATATTAATGAGAACTGAAAAAGCTACTGTTAAGAATAAAGGTTAATGGGATTACTTTATATTTCTTTCATCTATCTTGAGCTACTGCATAAAGAAAAAAAGCTAGTATTAGGTTCATGTTGATCATTGGACATAGATCTCAGTAGAATATGAATTATTCCTCTCAGTGATCCTTTTACTTGCCCTTGATCAGCTTTCCTTTCCATTTACCAAATTTCTGAATAGTCTATTCCAAACTGTCTTGGTTTAGCTATCCTGTTATGTGATTGCCATATAGTTAGAGTCTGGGAATACAAATTTGAAGAAACATGTTCTCTGTCTTTAAGGAGCTCACTTTATGGGGGCTGGGGCAGAGATAGAGATCAACAACAGAAACACAAAAAATAGCTCCCTTAATTGAGGTGAATAGACAGCAGTGTTGAGATACAGGTGAGATCCCTTATTACCTGTTTGGGGGATCTAGGAAGAATTTTAAAAGGATTTGAGTAGACTAGAGACTGCACAGATGTTTTCCCAGGAAAAGTGTGTGTATAGATGTTTTTCTAGGAAAACTGTGTGTGTGTGTGTGTGTGTGTGTGTGTGTGTGTGTGTGTGTGTGTGTGTGCATGTTTGGGGTTGGTTCTTATTCAGGGACAGCTTTAGGAAAACAGTTTGAAGAGCAAAAAAGCTTTGAGTAGTAGGGCCCATTTGAAAGACACTGTGGTTAAAAATAATCAGAAACACCATTTCATAAACAGCAGCTGACAACAACTCTTATTCACAGATGTCACTGAGCAGTAACTTCTCAACTGCTTTTTACATCCTCACTGCCAACATACAATTTCTCTACTGAAGTCCTCTTTCTCTTCCTTCTCATAGGTAAGACTTCCCCTTCTGCTTGTTGGCAATCCCTCTAGTTCCCTACCACTGCATCTGGGACCTTGCAGCCCTAGTCATCAAACCCAGTTCTTCAAATACTGCTATTTACTGTCTTGTTTTTTTTTAAATTCAGCTTGTATACATATTTACAACCCTCACACACTGAAATAAAAAGTACATACTATCATATTTGTATTTCCTTTCTGTCTGACTCCTTTTACCTCATTTTTCTTTCCATTACATCCTCACTGCCAACATACAATTTCTCTACTGAAGTCCTCTTTCTCTTCCTTCTCATAGGTAAGACTTCCCCTTCTGCTTGTTGGCAATCCCTCTAGTTCCCTACCACTGCATCTGGGACCTTGCAGCCCTAGTCATCAAACCCAGTTCTTCAAATACTGTTATTTACTGTCTTGTTTTTTTTTAAATTCAGCTTGTATACATATTTACAACCCTCACACACTGAAATAAAAAGTACATACTATCATATTTGTATTTCCTTTCTGTCTGACTCCTTTTACCTCATTTTTCTTTCCTCCATGAAGCTTCTTGAAAACACTGCTTTAATTTTCCCATCTCTCTATCACTCTCCACCCATCAGAACTACATGAAAATCCTACCATTCTATAATTTCTATCCTCACACAATCAATGAGTGTCTTCAAATGTATGAGGCATTTTTTTAACACTATTTCAGGATCACTCCACCATTTGGTACTGCTACCTCCACCCTCTTTCTTAATATTTTCTTCTCTCTTGGTTTCCCTTGTAGCTCTGAATATTCTTAGTCACTTGACTAAGTCACTTCTTCCTTCACCATTTTAAAATAGTTTCAAGCCAGCCCTCTCTAAATCACCCAACCTAGAACAGTGGCAATCAGAACACCCCCTTGGGCCTAGGCAACTGGGGCCCCTCTTAAAAGGACTGCTGGGACCTCCTCTGGGTGCCTTCTTCTCCAGAGGACCCAGATGCAGGACAGCGAAGTGGCCTGCCTTCCCTCGTAGCTGACACTCCCAGTACTCCGGAGCCTGAGACTTAGACAGCTTTTCTGCTTTTAATTACACTGAAGTATTTTTCTGAAGTGCATTTTGTTCTGGGAAAGGGATAGAAATATTGTTTGAAAAAGAAATAAAAAGGAAAAGAGACAACCCATTATTTAGTTCTGTACTGTCAAGCAGGAGACAATGTAAAGAAAGTAGACTGTACCTTAATATTTAAGTTCAGTAAATGGAAATTTCATAGTCTTTCCACCTCTATCTAGACACACTAGAAAAACATATTTGGAAAAGAATTATTTGATTCTTGAGGGAAAAATAAGATAATTTCAGCAATTTTGTGGGCAAGTTAGAAATACAAAGTGATTTTTTTTTCCTAGGGTCCCCCCTTCACCAAATCCCCCCCACAACAAACCCCATTACAGTACTGTCCATCAGCATAGTAAGATGCTATAGAATCACTACTTGTCTTCTCTGTGTTGCACAGCCGTCCCCATGCGCCCCCATTATACATGCTAATCATAATGCCCGCTTTCTTTTTCCCCACCCTTATCCCTTCCTTCCTTCCCTTTCTCCCCAGTCCCTTTCCCTTTGGTAACTGTTAGTCCATTCTTGGGTTCTGTGAGTCTGCTGCTGTTTTGTTCCTTCAGTCTTTCTTTGTTCCTATAGTCTTTGGGTTTTAGGTGAGTCTCTTGTAAGCAGCAGAGATGGGTCTTGCTTTTTTATCCATTCTATTATTCTGTGTCTTTTGATTGGTGCATTCAGTCCATTTACATTTAGGGTGATTATTGAAAGATATGCACTTATTGCTATTGCAGGCTTTAGATTCGTGGTTGCCAAAGGTTCAAGGTTAGCTTCTTTAGTATCTTAGTGTCTAACTTAACTCACTTATTGAGCTATTTTAAACACTGTCTGGTCATTCTTTATTTTTCTCCCCTCCTATTCCTCCTCCTTTGTTCTTTATATATTGGTTGTTTAATTCTGTGCTCTTTTGTGCTTCCTTTAACTGCTTTTGTGGGTAGTTGATTTTATTTTTTGCCTTTAGTTAGTATTTGGTTGGTCTGCTTTCTTTGCTGTGATTTTATTTTCTCTGGTGACATCTATTTAGTCTTAGGAGTGCTCCCATCTAGAGCAGTACCTCTAAAGTACCATTTAGAGGTGGTTTGTGGGAGGCAAATTCCCTCAACTTTTGCTTTTCTGGGAATTGTTTAATCCCT